ACACTTGTCAGTCTTCCATGACAGAAAATTCATTCAAAGAATAATTACACCACAAATGTACTCCTTTATATCAGAAAATATAACGGATAATACCTTTACATACAATTGCGTTAATAATCTAACAAAGACAAAATATTTTAAAAGTAGGTTGACAGGTGCAACTAATAATTTTGAGCAAAGTGGACACCTTATGGTAACAGTAAAAAAAGCCAGGCAGTGGTTGTGCATGCCCATGACACAGCACTGTGCAGGGGAGAATGGATGATTCACACAAATGTTGTGAAACTGCCTGCTCATTGGCGTCGAGGTACCATACAATGGCGTACCAGGAGAGCACAGTACAGACAAATGCGATCTCCACCTGTTCCATCTGTATGGGATAGAGTGCCGGGTGCTCCCGTTTCCTCCAACATGTAAACACTCATGAATAGGCTGATAACAATCTTAATATATAGAGGACCACAGAGCCCGGCCGATTGTTAGCTGCCTTCCCGCTTGTCTGTGGTTCCTTGAACCTCTAAGTCATTCTCCCTATTCGACAGTGAGTGAATACTGTGGACGTTACAAATTGATATTATTATGCCCATCTTCACCAAATATTTTTCCTGACAGATTCCAGCACCTGGAATTAATACTACCTTCACAGAGGAAAGTAATTGCCATAATCACACAAGGCAATCCAAATGCTGATGAGTGGGTTGAATCCTACAAAGTCTCTTACAGCGATGATGGTATCAACTGGAAGACCATGGCTCAGGTAATACATAGATAAAACATTTTTGTTCTGTAGTTGCATCTTTGCTCTAAACATAACACTGCTTCATTATCATCAAAAAGTGTGTTGAGTATTTTCCTCTGCATTGCACATCATTATTTGTGTTCACTAAAGAATACTAATGTGTTCGTGTCCATTGACTTGCTAAATATGTGCAGTTTTTTTAGCTCTTTAAGGACGTGTACTTTAAAAAAATGTTTATGATATGATTCATGTAAAAGACAACAGCTATGGTTCATGTAAAAAAACAGACACAACATACACTTAGGGATTAATTAGTTCAGCTATTACTCACCCACTGTTGTTACCCACGGCTAAGAATTAAACTCGGGCCGATGGCTTCGAAGCGCAGTATGCGAACCACTCCGCCTCATACCCCATTTCATTTTTATAATGCCTTAACCATTTGATAGCAGCTTGTATTTATAATACCTCTGACATCTCTGAAAGTGTAGTGCTTGGAGAAGTACTTTTGGTTGCATGTTAAAATTGCTCAAACAGTTGAGGGACTGCATTGGTAGTGATGCCAACCACAAACAAAAACACACACTCAACACCTTCATAAATAGTACGACAGGACAATAACAAAATAAATAGCAGTGCTGATCTTCTTTGGTTCTTTCGGTAAAGTCACGTAGAATGAGAATAAAATAATAAATTGATAAAATAAAAGAACACAATAAAATTCTCACGACGTGCTAATGTTTTGAACAACTGTCCTTCAGGTCAAAGAGAGAGGTAATAGAGATTGACTGACTTTTAGTTGGATATTGCTATTCATGCTGAATATATTGCAGGGTTTAATTACAAAATTATCACAGTGCTTCCTCAAAATGGCTACACTCATTGGTCGGTAGTGAATGAGATGCATTGCACGACAATAATGCCTCTGGGACAATAAAAAAAACAGGTGTGTTGGTGGTGCTGGCCACCGACCCCCTTCGTGTGCCATGCCAGCCTTCATAGATGCTCGCTAACATACACACATCGGAATAAAAAAAAACAAGTATGGATCACTACATGGAGAATTGCACATGCCAACTCTTAAGTTCACATTTGCGTGACCATATATCAGGATAAGTGAAACATTAACCTTTTGTGTTCGTAATTATTTCAGGTGTTTCCGGGCAACCAGGACAGGAACTCGCTTAAGACAAATTACATAAGTTCTTCAGAGCCTCTGTACACCAGCTACATCCGTATTATCCCTATTAGCTGGCATAACCACATAAGCTTGCGTGTGGAGTTGCTCGAAGAATGCACCACAGGTTTGTTGTGTTTTTTTCTGTGTGCCTTAACATTTTATTTACTACTAAATCACAGCACTTGGAAAGATTGTTTTGCATGTGCTAACTGCAAACGTTCTTGTTTACAGTATCTACTACGACGGCTGTTATTACCTCATCTACCACAAGTAAGAGCACGACTTTTTATATTTAAAATTGCCCACTTATTAACGTGTTGTTTTGTGCAACATCAAATAATGGGTCGTACAAGTGTAAAAATGGTTCGAAGCTTTCGTGACTGCAGGTGTATTTGTCACTCATATAAATTGTATTACGTATAAGGATATTTGTTACACTACACTCAACATATATATCCCACTCATCTTAAGCATCCTATAAATCACATGACTTGTGTGGCCACCCCGACCACGAATCTCTCCTCTCTCCCCACTGCCCGCCCCCCCCCCCCCCCCCGTGAAAACAGACGCTGCTACTCCATGCAGCTCACTTCTGCTCACTTCTTCCTTCTCTTTCCCTCCCCTCTCATCATCATCACCCTTTCATCCCTGGCACCTTGGCCCAGTCATTCCTTGACTCCCTCTTGCCCTTCCTGCCCACTGCTACCTCATCTTGAGCATTATATCATTGACTCTATCCCCCTTCCCGTGTTGTAGCCATGGGTAAAAACTTCTGACGTGCCCATTTGCCGGTATATTCCTTCTATGTATCAGAATTTTTTTATGAACATGTAACTCTGTGCAAACGTTTGGCTTCAAATCACGTCTTCATAAAAAATTTTGAATATCAGTTATGAGGCAAATACATTCGAATAGAATTTGCTATTAAGATGGTTCTTGCCATAATGTATTTCAAGATTATGTCCAAATTCCTGTGAAATAAGCTATGCTACTTGGTAAAAAAAGATACAATACATTGTAAAAAATATCAAATGTTACAAGGTGCAAATATGATGACAAAAATTTACATAAACACCATTTGCACTAGAAATGTATGTTACAATTATATCACGTAGATATTGCATTTGAAATTTGCATTTAATATATATAAATGTACATATTCACCAAAAACTGTTTAAACACTACCAATAATATTTAAGCTGCTGTGAGCATATTAGACTTGCAATTCAAAGGACCCCGGCTTGATTCCATTTTCCGGCAAAACCATCTGGAAAAATGGGTACGTTTCTTAAACCTTACAAACTCTTGTCCACCCAGCAATATAAATGCCACACAATAGTCGATTGGCAGAAGAGTAGGCTTAAATCTCACCGGACAAGCATTCCGAGCGCTACCTTTAGTGGAGGTCATTCCGCACAGCAGTGGCGTGACCAATAAATTGCGCCGGGCTACTTTACTCACGATAAATGTCTGTTATGTCACAGGGCTGTGTCCATCGGGCTCCGAGTGGAGCATGTGCATAACGACCTGCGAAAAGATGTGCCAGGGCATGCAATACTACTTTGGGCAGTGTCAGCCCCCGCACATGGCTCCCTGTATCCCTGGATGCACAATTCCAGAATGTGGTCCAGGAGAGCTTAAGGCTGACCTGACCACATGTGTCCAGATACTGGACTGCGTTTGCAGATTGCCCGATGGGACTGTGGTTCCTGTAAGTGACCCAGCGCACAGAGACATAGCATGTAACTGTAACAAATTATTTTTTTGTGACATGCATCTCATCATCATGTACTGTAAATCCAGTCTTTTTTGTGGATTAAAATATATTTTTTGAAAAAAAATTATATATGAAAGTTTAATGTTGCACTAAAAAGTATGGACCTACTATTGATTTATATATATTTTTAATGGACACACAATATTCGTGATTTATATAATTATTAGTGATTTGTTTCCATATCTCCGAAACATTTGTATGTATTGTTTCATTACAGCCTGCTGGGTCTGTGACCACACCAGATGGACAAAGATGCACATGCTTTGGAAATCAACTTATCTGCACACCACAATCAACGTCACCACCACCTCCAACACCGTCACCACCTCCAACATCAACAACACCACCACCTCCAACATCAACGTCACCACCTCCAACATCAACGTCACCACCACCTCCAACATCAACATCAACACCACCACCTCCAACATCAACAACGCCACCACCTCCAACATCAACAACGCCACCACCTCCAACATCAACAACACCGCCACCTCCAACATCAACAACACCACCACCTCCAACATCAACATCAACACCACCACCTCCAACATCAACAACGCCACCACCTCCAACATCAACACCACCACCTCCAACATCAACAACGCCACCACCTCCAACATCAACATCAACACCACCACCTCCAACATCAACAACGCCACCACCTCCAACATCAACAACGCCACCACCTCCAACATCAACATCAACACCACCACCTCCAACATCAACAACGCCACCACCTCCAACATCAACAACGCCACCACCTCCAACATCAACAACGCCACCACCTCCAACATCAACAACGCCACCACCTCCAACATCAACATCAACACCACCTCCAACATCAACAACGCCACCACCTCCAACATCAACAACGCCACCACCTCCAACATCAACAACGCCACCACCTCCAACATCAACATCAACACCACCACCTCCAACATCAACAACGCCACCACCTCCAACATCAACAACGCCACCACCTCCAACATCAACAACGCCACCACCTCCAACATCAACAACGCCACCACCTCCAACATCAACAACGCCACCACCTCCAACATCAACACCACCTCCAACATCAACAACGCCACCACCTCCAACATCAACAACGCCACCACCTCCAACATCAACAACGCCACCACCTCCAACATCAACATCAACACCACCACCTCCAACATCAACAACGCCACCACCTCCAACATCAACAACGCCACCACCTCCAACATCAACAACACCACCACCTCCAACATCAACATCAACACCACCACCTCCAACATCAACAACGCCACCACCTCCAACATCAACAACGCCACCACCTCCAACATCAACACCACCACCTCCAACATCAACAACGCCACCACCAACATCAACAACGCCACCACCTCCAACATCAACAACGCCACCACCAACAACGCCACCAAGTGAAAAATGTCCAAACATGACTGTAGATATTGACAACAGCACCTGTTCAAGCTGTCTCGAAGGACTTTTCTGCTACAAGGGAGCCTGCGTGCCTTTGTACGACTGTCCGTGTGTAGTAAATGGTGCTGCATATGAGCACGGAAGTATTTGGAACGAGTTATGCAAAACATGCATGTGCATAGATGGAAACGTTGAATGCATAATGCAAACATGTCTCGTTACAAGTCAGGAAGGATGCTCGGTTGGTGAATATTACGTATTGGAAGCGGACAGTTGCTGTGGAATTTGTAGACCTTGCTGCAATAACTCACAGTTTAACTGCCACTCGAGCGGATGTCAATGCATCCCAAATTCCTGGGTGTGCGACGGCACCGATGACTGCACAGGAGGAGAAGACGAGGACAACTGTGTCACTTCGACCTTGGTCTACTCAACTAGTTCACCACCAGTAACCACCACGGGAGAAATCACAACCGTTATAATCACAACACCTCAGCCCACAACCTACACAACCGAACACACTTTCAGTACAAGTCAACCACCGGTTGGAACGACGACAAGGTGGTCCACAACCACTTCACCGCCAGAGGGCTGCGTTTACATGGGCGTTTTCTATCCAGTTAATGGTTCCTGGCCAAGTGGTGTCAATGGATGCGGACAATGCTACTGTCGTTCACAGGACACAGTCAAGTGTGACTATTCAAACTGCGAGCAGACGTGCATTGCTGCAAGTGACCAGCTGAAAACGTTCGATGATCAGCAGTACCAAATCGACTACTGTTCTCATGTATTATCAAAGGATTGTGCAAATGGCACCTTTGAAATAGTATACGTGCTCAAGTGCAGTGGCGATGGAAATAACTGCAGTCCAGCGGTTCACATTGCAACAAGTGATACTGTCCTCGTGTTGGAGTCAATCAATTATGTAATTGTTAATGATGTCAGCTATACAGCGGCACAAATTCAAATTATTGGCCTGCACATAAATGCCCTAAATATTTCTTATGTCACTGACAGTCAGATACTCGTGTCATCCAGTCTTGGTTTCAAAGTAATATGGAAGAATGGATATGAAACGCAAGTTGTGGTCGACGAAAGTCTGAAGGGACGTGTCTGTGGGCTTTGTGGAAATGCCAATGGCAACAAGATGGACGACTTTGTCTTCAGAAACGGCACTGCAGCGGCAAACATAAGTGACTTTATAAAGAGCTGGGAGGTTGGTACAAATCTGTGCAGCAAACCTAATACAACGTGCTTGGAATCCAAGGAGGCAATTGAAATTTGCAAAGCCATCTTTTCACCAGTATTCTTAGAATGTCAGGGTTGGGTGGATGCAAACTTGTATTATAACCTTTGCCTCACGGACGTCTGCAAATGCATTGACGCAAACGCATCCATCTCTGCTGCCAGCCAATGCAAATGCCCATCATTTGCCTCCTACACCCAGCAATGTATGAACAAGGGCAAGTGCATAAATTGGCGTGTCCCTGTCAACTGTCCAGTCAACTGCAATAACAACATGGTGTACAAGGAGTGTGCCTCCGGTTGTCCAAAGACATGCAGTAACATCAACGGCCAGCCACAAAACAATTGTGCTATACCACTCACATCTGGTTGCATGTGTCCCGACGACAAAGTGTGGAACGGTAATACTTGTGTCGGAATTGACTCTTGCAATCCGTGCGTATGTACCGGCTATGGCGATCCTCACTACATAACATTCGATGGAAAATATTATCCATTCATGGGGAATTGTTCATATGTGCTTGTGAATGACACCCTATCTAATGACCTCCTTATATACGCCACAAATGAGTACTGCACTGCGTCTACGACAATGACATGTACTAAATCGGTGACAGCGCTCTACAAAGGAAACAACGTTACTTTGCTACTTAACAAGTACATAAACGCCAACGGCGCTTTACTAAAGCTCCCTCCTTCAAGGGTAATAGGTAGCGTCATCTTTGTAGAGCTTGTTGGTCTGATTGAAGTATTAACCATCCCCGAGATTGGTCTGAAGCTAACATTCACGCCGAGTAATATGGCCTTCCGAATTGAACTACCCCCATCAATTTGGTGGAATAGAACTGAAGGGTTGTGTGGCAGCTGTGATGGCAATCCAAAAGATGACTTCATTACCAACAATGGCAGTCTAGTGAAGGACAGTGACGAGTTTGGATACAGCTGGGCAATTTCACCGGACAACAAGACAACTTGCTACCCACAACCACCTCATCAACCTTGTAACACTACTGACTGCTGTGTCAATGGAGCTCCAGTCAACATATGCAATGTCATTTACACCACAGCTTTCAAGGCCTGCCATCCATTAGTGAATCCAGATGTGTACTACAACTCCTGCAGATTTGATGTTTGTAAGCTTGGTGGAAACCAGTCAGCATGCGCTTCATTAGAAGAGTATTCCAAGCAGTGCCTGAAGGTTGGCATTTGTATCAATTGGAGGAACTCTTCACTTTGCCCATACGAATGCCCAGCTCCATACCAATACCAACCATGTGCCCCAACTTGTCCAAAGACCTGCGATAACTACGAAAACTATCAACCTTCAAATTGTGATAGAATTGAGGGCTGTATGTGTCCAGATAATTACGTATATTACAACGGAACATGCGTAGCACCTTCAAGGTGTCCAAAATGCATTGGCAATGACGGCACAGCATACGCCCCAGGTGACAAGTGGTATCCTAATGGCAACAAATGCACTGAGTGTGAGTGCAGCACTATGGCTCCTGGTGGCTCATATAGTGCACTTTGCAAAGCATATAGTTGCCGTTTTGAAAATGTCACTTGTGCAGATGGCCAGAAGAAGCACAGTGTATTAGACAGTAATGGTTGCTGCATGACAGACATCTGCCTACCCTGCGAAGTGAGCGACTGCATAAACCCACCGCCCATACCCACATGTGACGTTGGCGAGGAGCTTGTCCTGCAAGAAGTAAAGGAATGCTGCAAGAAATACAAGTGTCAGTGCGTGCCATCCTCGTGCCAAAATGAAGTACCCGTGTGCAAAGCTGACTACATCCTAAAAGTGATTAATCCATCAGCTTGCTGCAAGATCTACAACTGTGTATGCCCTGAAGTTTGTTCCAACAGCTCACAGCCTCCAACAGATATCCCATTCGGCTACAAGGTCATCAACTTAAATGAAGGTGGATGCTGCCCTGTCTATAGCATCGTCTGCGACAAAGACATATGCAAGAGTGTACCTCCACCCGTGTGTAATCCTCCTAAAATTCTTAATGTCACGGTTGGGTCTTGCTGCAACAAGACTGAGTGTGTTTGCCCTTCATGCGACCATGTGGTTGTTCCAGTGTGTGGACAATACGAGGTGCTGCAGACCACTGCAGGGCCATGCTGCAATTCTTATTCATGCATCTGCGATTCCAGCAAGTGTCCAGTGTATAATATAAGTTGCCAATCAGTCAACCAGATGGTGGTGGCTGGTTCGGTAGTGCCATGCTGTGGGCCAATTCCGGTATGCCAATGTAAACATTCGTGCGCACCATCGAATTGTCCTGAAGGTTCTTTGTCCGTCGTCAAAGGGCAAGACGCCTGTAATTGTTCAATTTACGAGTGCCGTCAACGGCAATGCCTTTTCGATGGCCAGATTTATCCTGTTGACAGCACATGGGGAGTGGATGTATGCACAGTATGCTTCTGTGAAGAGGTTGATCAAAACTTCAGAATACGCTGTGAAGTGGAGAGCTGCGCACCATGTGGTCTGGTAAGTTGTGCATTTCAAAACAATTATTTAATAACGTTCATTAATTTGCACACGTGTTCTTCTACCCTTTCAAAAATATATTGACTACCTCCTGCTTCATTTATATTTAAAGTCTTCACCTTTTTTATGGCATAATTCATTTCTTACTTGTTAAGTTTACATAATCTCAAACAATTATGCAGCTCCTGAAATTTACATCGTGACATGTCATTATTTTACCAGGGACTTGCAAACTCACCTATTGCTGGCACCTGCTGTGGAGAATGTGTGGAGGTGAACTGCACCACTTATGATAACGGTGATATCAAGATGTATCAGGTAAGATGTAGTAAACTTTTACAATGTCAAGTTTTAAATATAATTAATAAAGCACTTTCAAAAGGAAGTAGAGTACACAAAATAAGCATGTGCCTTTGTATCTAGGATGGTGTATATATTGTTCTTGAAGTCCTGTAGACCGATGGACTGGACACACATTTTAGGCGGATGATTATATTTTTTCTCTTATTTACGTAACGTATCTATATATAGGCTCTTTAATATAAATTAATCATTGCTCATTATTTATACAAAAGCAAATAAAACAAATGCTTGTGAGCAGATTTAAATGAGAAACAGCATAGGTTTCCAATCCTTCTGATCAATCTCTCATTGGACTAAATTATGTTTTGGTATTTGTCCACAAAGAAATGTAATATCTTTAAATAAACTAAATAGGGAATCAGATAACACTAAACTTAAGTGGGCTAGTTTAAAATTTCCCACAGGTACAACAAATATCAGTGTATGAAATGTCTCACACACAATGAGCCAAGCAAGAAAAACACCCACTTATATTCCACGCACTTTCAACAACATAGAACATTTCACATTGATTTTAAGTTTAGTTACAGGCCAAAAAACTAAAACTATCAATATTCAACAAAAAACGACACATTGCGACTGCATGACAGTGTCAATGTTTTTGTTTTAATCAATGTGCTAATTTACCTCCTTCAGCCTGGCGAGCAATGGAATCCGGATTTCGATTCGTGCACAACCTGCATTTGCGTGGAGTCTTTGGGTCAAGTGTCTGAGGTCTGCAACACCATCCGCTGCGATCCTGTCCCCGACGACTGCAAGCCGGTAAGTGCCTTCACTATAGCACCATCGGTAGCAGTCATGCCAAAAACATGCTTGTTCCAGGAATACGAACCACGATACCTTGCCGATCTTGAGGAGCATAAACCATCACGCAAACTCTGGTAATCCCTGCAGCGGCTTTTGGCTAACCATCGAACAAAGATGGTCACTGCATCGTGCGATTTCAAATTCGCTTCTGGAACGCTCTTCCTTTCGATATTAGGAAGCCACTGGAGCTATGCACTTTCAATCAAAATTGAAAACGTATTTTATAAATTATTCTTGTTTTAGTGTCTTAGTTTATTGTCCTTCCTCTGTACCACTGATTAGCACATTTGGCTACGTCCAGTGCGAAATAAGTTCAACATACATACCTCATATTATCTGTATTGTGTATAGTATATAAATTATGTATTCTGTACGTAAAGCTCAACATATAGTACCTTCAGCATACAATGTATAGATATGCCACATTTATTTTTTGACAAAAGCCTTTCATTAATTATAAAAATGTCACAATGCAGGACGCTCCTCCCAAAAGTCTTGAGATACGGTAATGTGAATAAAGGGTAGGTTAGAACTTAAAAAAATATTAAAGGGAACACAATTAATAACAGAAATTTACATTACAGGAGAACGTTGTTCAAGATGGATGCTGCCTGAAATGTCTCACACACAACGAGCCAAGTAAGAAAAACAACCACTTATATTCCACGCACTTTCAACAACATAAAGTATATCCTCTGAGATAAGACGCTTGAGAATGTTTTATGGTGTAGAACCAATTTAGTATATACCAAGACCATTGTGGATATCTTTATGATCCATATGCCCTCTGTTACAATCACTCATTCCTCGGCCCTTGCCATCTTGCCATCTAAATCATACGATTTTTGTACTGCTTTAAAACAATGTAAAGTATCTTTAGCTAAGGTGCTCTATAAAGAGTCAATTACCTAAGACAAATTTAAATTACTAATGTTTTTTCTAATGTGCTATTTTTCCCTATATACAAACATGTCCAACAAACTCGTCAAAACAATGCATTTGCATATAAATCCTGAGTGCACTATTCACGCGTATAAAGCATAGGCTAATTAACACCAAGAAGTTTCCGAAAACATTGATAGCCACATTGTTCTAATGTCCGTTCTCTCCCAAAAATTCCAGACATGACGTGTCAACCTGTTCTGGTAAACGGCAAGAGCACGCCAATCAGCGCCGAAGGCTGCGTTAGCCACGAGTACGTGGACGTGATGGAGTGCGCGGGTACCTGCTCGGCCACCACCCTCTACTCTGCCGAGACTGACACTTTCGACCGCCGCTGCGGTTGCTGCGCTCCCGCCCAGACAGAGAAGCGCTCGGTGCAGCTCTTCTGTCCCAATGGCAGCCAAAAGACGCACAGTTACACTTACGTGCAGTCGTGCTCCTGCCAATACAGTCAATGCCCCGAGTGAAAACAGAAAGTGTGACCCGACCGAACGGACTAAACGGACCGACCACAGACCTGATATTAGTGTGTTGTCACACGTACATAGTGTCAACGCTAATAAAATATTAGATGAATTTTAAATAGTAAAATGACAGTTTTAAGTCCATGTAGATGTATTGATATAAAACAGTTGCACGTCATTACAAATGTTGCTTTTAGTGTAATTGTATGTAGTGTTCCAAATTACCAAAAATAAATGATATCCAGCATTGTTGCAACATAATACTTGTCTCTTGAATGTTTATTGTCTACGTGTTCACTCTTAATTACATAGTATAAACGACACACGAAAAGATGAGAAAACAGTTTAAGACACGGCAGAGAAAACATGATGAATATAGCACTGCAAGACATCAGGGGCTAAAAACAAGATTATCTGTCATTCGTCAAAAGCTTAGGCCCTCTGACAAGGGAGAGATAAGCTGAGAGTCTCAGCTCCTGACTAAAGACAGAGAAGACTGTGTTTGGTCCGTCAGAAATGTGTACAGCAATTTTTTACCGTCTTTTCTCACCTCCGGCCAGCGTTTCCCACTGCAGAGGCATTTTGCACTATTTTCATCACACTAAAATATGTAGAATTATTTATGCATTCAAGGGGAGATTAAGAAATGCCATTGTCTCCTTGATAACATGTTTTAAAAACATGTTAGTTTTTTGTTTCAATGCATATACCCTTTATTTCTGATAAATTGGAGCATGGCAATTGGTCATAATTACATTTAGATGGCTTTTATAACTCCTTGTCAATTCACAGCTGGATAAACACCTCCGCACACTATGTTAGTCATAGGGGTTGTTTGATAATACATCACCACACTAGTCAGCACAGGTTGGTGAAAGGGAGCCCAGGATAGGTTCATATATCACTCATTATTGATGTTAATAGTGGTCGGGATTTCAACTTAGGTTGTTGGATGCATACCAGAGTGCACTAACTCCAAATCAAACTTAAAAATGCAATGGAGGTATTTGCCTTCGAAGGGTTTCAGGCAAAAAGGTAAAATCAGAGTTATTTCCTCAAAGCCAAAATTATCTCGGAAATATCTCTACATCCCAAATATTTAAATTAGACTTAAGAAGATTTGCACATTCACAGAGCTGCTAAAACAGAGATGGTTCTAATATGTACCATATAATTTAAGAATCAACATACCAGAGTAAGTTCATAGTGAAATGTTCGACACAACAAAGCACTGTTTTAAAAGTACACATTTTTATCAAAAGCCTTTGTGCTGGTTTTACAAAAGTATTAATACCGCACAGCTAGCATATGACGACACCAAAGTTATATTGGGTGAGAGTCTTGGCACTGGAATCTTCCACGTGGTTGAGTAATTATGTTCTTGATAATGGAAACAAAAGGCAACGATATAAGATATGAGACTTCAGCTTTCACCATGATTATAATCATGATTATAATCATGGTGAAAGGAAGGCTTGGAACAGCCTTGTCGCAGTGGTTCATGGCTTCCTGGGCAATCACAAGGTCGAAAACTGTGGAGCTGAATTTCGATTTAAAGCTTTCGTGACTGCAGGGATTCATATTCTTGGTTCTTTCGGTAAAGTCATGTAGAAGGGAAATAATAAAATAATAAAAAATAAAACATAATAAACTTCTCACGACGTTTCGGCCACAACACAAGCAGCCGCCCTCAGGTGAAGAACAGAGCTGTCGGAAAGACAGCGTCCTAATGAACACCGCTAAGCTTGGCAGCGTATTTTAAGCTGGGTGGGAGGAGCAGAGTGCCTTGACAAAGGAGTTTACATATCAACAGAGGAATTTAGCATATTGACGCTAAAGAACTGCAACTACCCTACTACCATACAATAAACCGATGTGAAGAAACTAAATATAAACTACATCAATATATTGATGTGACTGAAACGTCGTGAGAATTTTATTTTATTGTCAAATTTGTATTATTTTATTATTTCCCTTCTACGTGACTTTACCAAAAAAAACAAGAATATGTGGAGCTGGTTGACACTCTGATGAAGAACTACGGCACATTGGGCTGTAGGATGTCCCTCAAAGTCCATATCCTTGATGCTCATCTTGATAAATTCAAGAAGAACATGGAAGCATACTCTGAGGAGCAAGGCGAGCGCTTCCACCAGGATATACTGGACTTTGAACACCGCTACCAAGGACAGTAAAACGAGAACATGATGGGAGACTACATTTGGGGGCTGATTCGTGAAAGTGATTTACAATATAATCATAAATCTCGAAAAACTACTCACTTCTAAATCTTGTGCAGTAATTTTTGTATTACTTTCGTATAAATCCATGTACATTTTTATTCAAATGTTGTTTTTTTCTGACTTCATGTGAACAAAAAGACACAAATTCGCCTGTTTTCTCAGTGAAAATAGGTAAATTTCAAAATATCACTGTCCTGGTCACAAAAGCAAAATTTGTGGGGAATAATAGCCATTTTCTATACTTTTTAGGCATAAGCAATTATGAAATAACACTTACTACCCAGGAACACAAATTGTGTCACATAGTGTTATTAAGCGCCCGGAGCTTATTGTGCTAAAACAGTTTTATCAAAGATACCTATATGAAAACGACTTCACGGATTTCTAACTACAACACCACATTCAAAGAACATTTTTTATTCAAAAATTTGACCAAAATAACATTGTGAATAAGAAAACAAACATGGTCTTTCAACTCACAAAATGGCGTAATTTTGCATTCAGTTGTTTTTCTTTGGAAAGTAATTCTCCACTATGCTTCTTAAAGGCTTCAAACTCCTGTAGAAATAAGGATGAAGGTTGCACAACATGAGTCACATTTTCTAATGTTATCTTAATCAAGTATAACATTCCAACACCAAGTTAACCAAACAAGTATAGAGTAACTGATTAAAAATAACAATCTGAATTCAATATTAATAAAGGATAATGCATTATCGAAATGCATTGACAGTGTTCTGAATTTGTGGAATACCAGGGCATCTAATAAAAAAAAGCTGAGATTTGGCAAGAACAGCGTACCTTTTGCAGTCTGTCAAACGCCTGTGCAGAGTTGTCCAGCTTCCCTCTCAGTGCCCTCACCTGCAGTTCAGCATTCACCGCCTCCACATCCCGCTCAAACCTACCACCACGTGACCAATGGCTTTCACTGCAATGACATCTCTTTCCAGTTCCTAACACGAACCAAAACTAAGAACGGCCAAACCAAATGCACTGTCCCTAAGCTCCAACAAACGTAGGGTGTTGCTCAACTATACTGGCAGGCCAGAGTCGGTGGTGGAAATGACACATTCCTATGGCAAGGAGTGACAATTCAAAGGGAAACTATAGATTTTAATGACCACAAAAGCTGAAGTTTAGCTCACATACGTTTGAAATCAAGGATACATAATTTTATTAGAAAACTACATGTGTTTATACAATTTCCCCCATCCACATATGCTGGACTAGCAATAAAATGCAAATATCATTGTTCTTGACAAACCACAGCTTGACAGTGTTGTATGTACGTACCCACCTTTCCTCTGCAGACCTCCTTGCATCCTCCGATTTCCTCAGCTTACGCTCGAGCAGCTGTATGTCCTTCTGTCTTTCCTGCATTGAGTCAATATTTGCCACAGTGTATTTGACACCAAATTGGAGTGGGAATGACTCCGACATTTTATTGGCATGATGTCAGGTAGTTTCAATTCAGATCGCAGCACAAAACATTAAACTTTATGCTAAGCAACACGTGGTATACCCCGAAAACATATCTCAGTGCCATACAGCACAACTGCGAAAACCTACGAAGTCATGTGAAAACATTTTTAACACGACAAAATCTCACGAATGGGAGTGAACGGATGCTTAGGAACTTGACAGTGAATGGAATCAGGGAAAAGTGTGGCAGTGTTTGAACATATACCCTGCAATTGATCTTCCGATCTATAAAATAAAGGCTCTATCCGCGTCACTGCTGGGCATTATTAGTCAAGGCCCACTGCTTGTACAATCTAATGGAGACATTATTTTTCATTCATACTTCCCTCATCGTTTTCTTAAGAGGACGTCTACCACGAAGATTGAGTGATCACATCAGCTCCTGTGAAGATGCTACATGGATTGTTGCATGACCACGGTAGGTGGTGGAGATTTGGGAAGGCCTTCATCTTATAGTAGATGGATCACAGGTGATAATAATTATGATGAATTGCACGCAAACCTGCAAGAGTCGGCCTCTCTGCATTGTAAGCTCTAACAGTTCCTGTTTTTCCCGAGCCAGGTCTTCCACCTGTTGCTTCAAGCTCTTTTGCTCGGCTGCCCACCCACTTTTCTCAGCCAGTGTAAGAGCCTCAGTCTCTAGGGACCCAAAGCCACACAACAGTTAACAAATGGAATATATTATATACATAAGAATTATAATCACAATTGATGCACATTCCGCAAAAGCAAAAAGACAAATCCTACACCACTGAGAGCACCCTTGTTATTATTTTGATGACAGAAATTTCAAAATAAGCGACGTCTAGCTTAATTAAAATTCATGCTTTAAAATACGAGTTATTATGTTATGAAATGCATTACCAGCAATTTTTGTCTCCAATTCTTTCAGCTTCTTTTTTAGGGATTCTGCCTCTTGTGCATGTGTTTTTTCAACATATTCCAAGCGGATTTTAAATTCATTTCCCTTTTCATAATAATGATTTGCCTTCTGACTGAAACACATCACAGACACCACTCAAAAATGCATTAAACTGACAAATAATGATATTATACAGGTTCTAACAAAAATACATTTACAGTTTTTTAAATTCAAAGAGCTCTCACCTAACATCAAACAATAGTTTAATTCATGTATGTACTACACCATTTAAGTATGCTAAGACTTGATATCCAGCCATTGTTATGCTATTGTACACCTTTCAACCTTAAAATCCAACACCAGTGTAAAATCCACATCAAAAAGTGACCTCATGTGTTACCTCTTAAGAGTGCCCTTTGATTCAGAAAATAGGGAATACAGTAGAACCCCTTTTAACGACCACTCCTGTTAATGACTAATCGCTTAACAACGGGCCTCCATAAAACCCAATGTGTAGTGTATAGTAGTGTAGAGTAGAACCCCTCTTAACGGCCACTCCTGTTAATGACTAATCGCTTAACAACGGGCCTCCATAGACCCCAATGTGTAGTGTATAGTGTAGTGTATTGTAGTGTAGAGTAGAACCCCTCTTAACGACCACTCCTGTTAATGCCTAATCGCTTAACAACGGGCCTCCATAGAGCCCAATGTGTAGTGTATAGTAGTGTAGAGTAGTGTAGTGTATAGCAGTCTAGTGTATAGTAGTGTAGTGTATAGTAGTGTAGAGTAGAACCCCTCTTAACGACCACTCCTGGTAACAACGGGCCTCCACAGAGCCCAATGTGTTCACTTACCGACCATTCCCCTGTTAACATGCTATTGTAGGTACAGTAAATATTAATTAATGCATTGATAACCATGTTTCTTTTAATGTGTTTATAATGTTAATAGTATCGGTATGTATTCATATCCACTGTTTAAATATATATTTTTTACTTCATGTGAAAAGGAGTAACTTTCGATGCTATCGGAACGAATTAACCCTTTAATATGTATTTCCTATACTCGCTTAATGACCGGTTATGTGGAAACAATTACCTTAAAAGGGGTTCTACTGTATATTAGGGGTGGGAAGATTTACCACACGCAGTGATTCCAAGAATAATCGTGATTCAAACATTGATTATTTTTTTACACCGTGGTGAATGGTAACACCTCTAGTGGCCAATGTCAAACCATTACGTACAATCTATACAAATACAAAATATATTAATTCTTACATGTGCGATTTGACGTATCGAATCAATGAAAAATCAATTGATCAATGGTATCATGCCAGCCCTAGGGTATATAATATAAATAGACATGTATGTGGAATGAGCATACAGAAGCAGGGCAGCAGTACCACATTCTACAAAATGGGTTACACATTTTCTTAAGTGCAGATTCAGCACTTTAAAAGCTATCAAGCCTTTCCACCTGCATAGTTGTTCCTGTTCAGAGCACTCTGTCTGCAAGGCTTGCAAATCCTGTGCGAGTTTAGTGATGATCGTGTCTCTTTCCTCAATGGAAGCAGAAAAAAGATCCTCATTTTCACGTCTCAACCGTGCATTCTCTTCCAGGAGATCCACGTTCTGCTTCTTGTGTTCATCCTGTTCGAGGTTACAAGTTGTTGTTTTTTTAACTCCCATAAATGTAATGTCGAAGAAATTTTATCCTATTAAATACTAGGAATTTGATTTGTTCACACAGGAATAGCTGTTGAATTCTCAAAAGACTGAAAATATATTTCTAAATGCAATCAACAATTAGAGTATTTATAGCTTTAGAATACAATATCATTATCCTTGTTCCAGTAATATGTAATGCTGAACACACCTTGAATGTGATCATTTGCTGGTGGTTGGAGGCCAGCTCCATGAAGCGTTGCTCTAGCAGGCTGCAACGCTTGTCTGCCCCGTCCCTTTCTCTCTCCAGCTCACCACTTCTGCACTCTAGGACCTGGCCGAACATGGTGTGCATATACAATGTTATTCACAAGCAGACATTGTGAAATTTATATCAGCTGCTGTTTGCACAGTTTCACATTTATTGTCTCATACATTAATGCTAAGCTCTAGGAGCTAATAGTCCCGGTGAGATGAGAAAAGAACACATTAATAGCAGACACCAATGATATGTAATACAGAGTGAACATAAAATTTAATAAGACTGGGAGGTACATTTCTTAATCTAATTAGCATTTATTGAACATTCAGTTATAAATCATGGAAATAATATATTGCCTATCATGGATGCTGGTATAATGTATGATCAGTACCAAAAGCCAAAAACCTATATATTCCATGTACAGTATTTTCCACAGTAGCTCTTGCCCATTCTGCACTAGGACATCCAACTTGGCATTCAGGAGGTTAAAATATTACAGCTTAAGACATTATTGGTAAGTCTATAAATATGGCCATGACGTGAGAATGAATATTCGGCATTCATAAAAAAAAATATTCTGTAACAAAAAGGGTTGAGGTTCAACACTAACCTATTAAGCCTACAACTAATACAAATCAGCAAAGGTACCAGACAATAGAAGGCTGCAAACTTACCTGACATCGGGCTAAGGTATCATCGGCACGACGTTTGAGGATGGAGATGAGGTGCGACTGCTCCTCAATTCTTGAACGGAGTAGGGCACACTGCTCTCCATCTTCCTGTGGTCCCCGATGAAGCTGCATTAGCGGAGGACTCACTGCAGCCAATGACGAGCAGGCAGGAATCTGCTGCAGCTCCAGAAACAACAGCTTCCAGCTCACGATGATGCATATGCAGCATGTTGAAGTGCATATGTACACTTTCATCAAAAAATGGACTAAAACATTTTCAACACATCATAATTAAAGGGCACTCTGCTAAGGGTCAATATAAAAGTAATATAACTCAGTATGCTATATTTCAGATGAGATATAAGCATTAACCTTTAACAATTTATCTGTACATTTATTCGAACCAATTATTGTGCTCACAAGGCAGATCGAATCATGTGCATGAGAATCGATTATTTTCGATTTGTATACAAAAAACCCTTCACAATCTCGGGTTTAGCAATTTTTTCAGCTATAAAATTGAGGTACAGTTTTCACAGACCGCGTCCATGTGCCTCGACCATTCGAGGTTGACCACGAGATTCCTGCATGCATCGTAACTGTACTGCTCGTGGCGATGCTGCACGTGGAAGAACACGTGCCCCATCCCTGTCTCCCAATCAGCCTATCGAGAGGGTCCAATACCACCATCCGTGAAATTTACTATTCACGAGCATCTCCGGAACGTATCCCTCGCGAATAACTAGGGAATACTGCACCTGATGCGGTGTGTAAACATCGCCACTGGGGAGTCAAAGGCGGCCGGGCATGGTGCTGACCACACACCATCAAGGTAAGTGAAAATACAACTGATGTTTTTCTATTCATGTAACTTTATTCAAAAATTATTTACTATACGGTATTACATTATAATATGCAAATGTACAAAATTTATTATTTTAGTTTGACAATGCTTCCCTTTTGTTGAACCGTTACGCAGTGTATCACACTGGCGCATGTGCATTTAAAGTGTTCTGACATACGAACCGGTCCACTTACGAACGGCACCACGGTGGCTAGATGTTAACTACCTCGCCTGGTATACAGGAGCTCGTGGGTTCGACCACTACCCTGACGCTGGTACATTATATGAAACTGACAAATTATTTTCTCACAGTGGCCGCGTGTATTTTTCTCTGGACCCTCCGGTTTTCCCCTCCATGTTCAGAATCGACATGTGCGTCGAGTATTTATTTGGCTGCTAACAATTTCCACATCATAAGCCATTTTGGTTGAGGTATATCGTTTGTGGCCAGGTTGCTTCTGAAAAAGAGCTATAGAGTTCAGTGGGCCTTACCTGGTAAAATAAAATAAAAGTTTTAAGTTTAACAGGTCTGAAGAACGGAACCCATTCGTAAATCGAGGACTGGTTTACTGTACAGTTCTACTGATGAACACGGTAAGGGTGCGTATGTTGTGTACTTATGTAATTTTTTGGGAGAAATAAAAATGACGCTCAGCAGAATGTGTTCATTACCCATCAAACACAAAGTTCTACATTTCAAGAGTTGAATTTCGGTCACACTTGCAAAGGAGCGTATCCTGGTATCCCGAGTTCTCGCCTGGTTAAACAAAATAAACGTAAACTTATAGCTCTTATGTAAAACAAAATGTATTGATGGAGGGGTTGTGTGTTTTGCAGTCATTGTTGACAAATTCTACTCGCCACGTGCAATGATCTTCGCTCTTAAACCACCTCTCTCGTTTAGTGGTTCATTTGTTTTGGTGTGTTCGTTACAGGTGAGGAGCGACTTGCTCGTAAGAAAAGTTTAACTGACCGGGCGGCTGACGTTGCCTCCGTGTCTCTCGGCGCTCGTCTCGTCGCACCTCCGCCTTCCCCGCGGGGACGCCATGTGGCGTGGTGTGTGGTGGTTTTGTTGTGGTGTGGCGTTGTTGTGTGGTGTGGTGTTGTTGTGTGTGGTGTGGTGTTGTTGTGGTGTGTGGTGGTTTTGTTGTGGTGTGGCGTTGTGTGGTGTGGTGTTGTTGTGGCGTGTGGTGGTGTTGTTGTGGCGTGTGGTGGTGTTGTGTGTGGTGTGGCGTGTGATGTTGAGTATGGCGTGGCGTGGTGTTGTTGTGTGGTGTGGTGTTGTGTGGTGATGTTGTGTGTGGTGTGGCGTGTGATGTTGTGTATGGTTGTGGCGTCGTAGCGTCTTGTGTATGTCTTGGCGTGGTTTGTGGCGTGGCCGCAGCAAGCCCCCTGCCTATGCACTTCACATCACCGATGGGCGGCGCGCGACAGGGAACGCTTTTGCCGCCAAGGCAACGGGCGCGCAGTGACCACGTGGTTCCACATCGGGGGAGACGTTCACAAAGCCCAGGGAGAGATCCCCTCCCTGCCGCCACCACCACCACCAATCACTCGCCTCCCACTCGTGCTTGCCTTGCTCCGGCGTTCGATCGATCGGCGTTCGATCGCAGAGCGAAGCTTGGAGAGCTGAATGAGTTCAAAAGAACTCGCAAACGCCTTGTTGTGAAAGACCTTCGACGTGGAAAGATCCCCTGGTGGTTTGTTTTGCTCTTCCACAAAGCTCAAGGCCCAAACTCTGAGCCGCATCCACTGCACACACCGTGGCAGCAGCAGCAGATGCGGATACCCTGAAAATGCACAAATTTAAAATAATAAAAAAACACTCTCCAGTCGTAGTGTGCGACTTTGGCCATCCAGAACAAACCGTAACAACGCAATGCCCCCGATCCACAAACACGGAGACACCGTAGCGATACAAATCCCATACCTGTCAACTCCTTATCAGTGCCCTACCTTATTACAGATCAGTTCACACCTAAATTGGTCACCCAGTGCCCTATTAAATCTCAATGTTAATCCTACAAAGTCCCATCACAGGGGAGAAACACAAATAAATAGACCCAAAATCATGTTTTTTGCCCGTATTGAAACAGATGTCCGCCGTATGGACCTGAAAACTCAATTTCCCTCGACCAACATACTGGATATAAATCCGTATGGGTTGACACGGTATGAAATCCGCTATCTGCTGGCTTGACCACGTGAATGTGAAATTACAGTTTCGTTGCTCTGCTATCTCCACAAGCCGTACAGAATAAAGAAGGCAGGCGTGGATACGTTTGATTGATCATCATCATCATCACGATCCATGGGGCATAAAGCCCCCGAAGTGTCCACTTGTACATTTCGTCATGTCTCCACTCTCCTCCGCCTTGTGTCAATATGGTCAAGTAGTGGCCACTTTGTGGAAAATTAAATAATAGGTTTAACCCTTTCTGACAATTAAAAAAACAGTGCTAAGATATTCAAACACCAGATATAAACCTTTTGCAAGGAATCAAGTTCGCATTGGTGAACATGCAAACAAACATGCTCTGATAATATATGGTATTGTCTTTTAAACTGCTTGGTCTACACCAGAGACAGCCTTCTTTAGGGCAGTACAAGGACAATGCACTACCAAGGCATTTACAACTAGCTTCATCAGGCGACAGCAAGATTTGTGGAGAAGTCCACCTGTTTCGTTCCTTATTTAGGGGCGTAGATCACTGGCGAAACGTCGTACTCAGATTGTAAATGTTGTGGCTTGGTTCTCCAACACACCGGTGTGCTGTACTAATGACGAATTTGCACATTCTATTTACGTGACAAACCTTACGAGTTGGCTATGTCGGGTGGTGGTGGGTTTAACAACACATGTATATATTCTTAGTTTTTTCGGTAAAGTCACGTTGAAGGAAAACAACAAAATAACAAAATATGTATAAAACAATAAAAAAATTCTCACGACGTTTCGACCATAACTCAAGACGACCGTTTGAGTTATGGTCGAAACGTCGTGAGAATTTTTTTATTGTTTTATATATATTTTGTTATTTTGTTGTTTCCCTTCAACGTGACTTTACCGAAAAAACTAAGAATATGAATTACTGCAGTCACGAAAGCTTTAAATCAAAACACATGTATATATTTACGCGCTCTACCAAAAAAACGTATATTATGGATGATATTGGTCGCGAAAGCCTACGTGTTAAATCCTTGTGCAGCAATTCATTTCTATTACCCCAATATATCTATCTCTTAATGTGTATTGGTTTTAACGTAGGAGGGGTAAGACGCTCCGAGGGGATGGGGTGACCCCCCCACCAATCACGCGCCAATGTGGACTGAGGAACGTGACGGGCGGGGTGGGGCGGGGGTGGGGCGGGGGTGGGGCGGGGGTGGGGGGCAGGGGCCGGAGGTCGAGGTAGGGGGCGGGGGGGGGGGTGAGAGTGAGGGGCGGGTGCCGGAGGTCGAGATGGGGGCGGGGACTGTTGCTAGGCGACGTAACGACGCCGGGTATGGCGTGGAGTTTCCCAGGGTTACATTGTGGAGGCGGCTGACAAAGCAAACGGAGTTAATTGCATTCGCACAACTTCACACGCTCGGTTTAACCCTCCCTTTCGAATGAACCGCACACTTGGCGTCGGGGAGTTGGGTCACCGCTCGAAAATATCACAAGCCTTGCTTTTTTTCCCCATACCACTCCTTCGGTTGAGGTATTTCATGAATGCAGTGCAGTGTATATACGGTACAGTGATCCCCTGCTGATTTTGTACGTTTGCCCACTTACAAAGAAATTATCAGTCTATAATTTTAATGGTAGGTTTATTTGAACAGTGAGAGACAGAATAACAGCAAAAAAATCCAGAAAAACGTATGTCAAAAATGTTATAAATGGATTTGCATTTTAATGAGGGAAATAAGTATTTGACCCCTCTGCAAAACATGACTTAGTACTTGGTGGCAAAACCCTTGTTGGCAATCACAGAGGTCAGACGTTTCTTGTAGTTGGCCACCAGGTTTGCACACATCTCAGGAGGGATTTTGTCCCACTCCTCTATGCAGATCTTCTCCAAGTCATTAAGGTTTCGAGGCTGACGTTTGGCAACTCGAACCTTCAGCTCCCTCCACAGATTTTCTATGGGATTAAGGTCTGGAGACTGGCTAGGCCACTCCAGGCCCTTAATGTGCTTCTTCTTGAGCCTCTCCTTTATTGCCTTGGCCGTGTGTTTTGGGTCATTGTCATGCTGGAATACCCATCCACGACCCATTTCAATGCCCTGGCTGAGGGAAGGAGGTTCTCACCCAAAATTTGATGGTACATGGCCCCGTCCATCGTCCCTTTGATGCGGTGAAGTTGTCCTGTCCCCTTAGCAGAAAAACACCCTCAAAGCATAATGTTTCCACCTACATGTTTGACGGTGGGGATGGTGTTCTTGGGGTCATAGGCAGCATTCCTCCTCCAAACACGGCGAATTGAGTTGATGCCAAAGAGCTCCATTTTGGTCTCATCTGACCACAACACTTTCACCCAGCTGTCCTCTGAATCAGATGTTCATTGGCAAACTTCAGACGGGCATGTATATGTGCTTTCTTGAGCAGGGGGACCTTGCGGGCGCTGCAGGATTTCAGTCCTTCATGGCGTAGTGTGTTACCAATTGTTTTCTTGGTGACTATGGTCCCAGCTGCCTTGAGATCATTGACAAGATCCTCCCGTGGTGAGATCTTGCATGGAGCCCCAGGCTGAGGGAGATTGACAGTTCTTTTGTCTTTCTTCCATTTGCGAATAATCGCACCAACTGTTGTCACCTTCTCACCAAGCTGCTTGTCAATGGTCTTGTAACCCATTCCAGCCTTGAGTAGGTCTACAATCTTGTCCCTGACATCCTTGGAGAGCTCTTTGGTCTTGGCTATGGTGGAGAGTTTGGAATCTGATTGATTGCTTCTGTGGACAGGTGTCTTTTATACAGGTAACGAGCTTAGATTAGGAGCACACTCTTAAAGGGAGTGCTCCTAATCTCAGCTTGTTACCTGTATAAAAGACACCTGGGAGCCAGAAATCTTTCTGATTTAGAGGGGGTCAAATACTTATTTCCCTCATTAAAATGTAAATCAATTTATAACATTTTTGAGATGCGTTTTTCTGGATTTTTTGTTGTTGTTATTCTGTCTCTCACAGTTCAAATAAACCTACCATTAAAATTTTAGACTGATCATGTCTTTGTCAGTGGGCAAGCGTACAAAATCAGTGGGGGATCAAATACTTTTTTCCCTTACTGTATATACAGGATATAAATACGGTATACGTACACGTTTTGTCAATCTGTAGTGGAGTAGGAAGGTGCGTAGTGCAAACATTGTGATTTCATGGAAACAAAGACAGTACGGCTTATGTTGGGTCAGCCTGTTGTGAAGGCAAAGTCATTACGGGTCATGTTGGGTCAGCCTATAGCAAAGGCGAAGACAGTACAGGTTATGTTAGGACAATTAAGCTGGGGGAGCCAAGGACAGCTGTGATTGGTTGGTGTTGTTGTCAAGGCTGGAGTGGCGTCTTGAAGTCTGGCAAGGTAGCAGGTGCACGGGCACGCGGAGCGCCGTTGGGACGCGGGTTAATTAATTGGGGTGTAATGAGAGCGGGGATAAGGTCGGGAGTTGGAGTTGGGGGCTGGACGAGGCAAGACGTGAAGCAGCTGAGGAGACGAAGGGGAAGACGGAGTTCGTTGGGGAGTTGGTTGGTTGGAGAGTTGGAGACAGAGTTTGGAATGATAGCGGAGCTGAAGAAGAGAAGCAGCTAGCAGTAGAGAGAGCGTAACGATAGCGGAGCTGAAGAAGAGAAGCAGCTAGCAGTAGAGAGAGCGTAACGATAGCGGAGCTGAAGAAAAGAAACCGCTAGCAGTAGAGAGAGCGTAATGATAGCGGAGCTGAAGAAGAGAAGTAGTTAGCAGTGGAGAGAGCATAGCGTCGGTGATAGCGGAGAGCAGAGATGAAGTAGCTCACAGTGGAGAGAGCATAGTGACGGTGATAGCGGAGAGCAGAGACGAAGTAGTTAGCAGTGGAGGGAGCATAGCGACAGTGATAGCGGAGAGCGGAGACGAAGAAGTTAGCGGTGGAGTAAGCGCAGTGATAGTGGGGAGTGGAGAGACAAAGGTGACGAGCGAGTCGAGTGAAGCACGGCGAGCGAGC